TTACATCAATGCATGATCACATCACTTTATCATAGCACAATCACTGGAAAAAAACACCATATGATTTATTTTATTTCACCAAAGTATATATCGCCTTAGCTTCCTAACGCTTCGAACTACATGTCAAACAGAGTCCGAAACTCAAATTACGGCCTTTACAAAATCTGTCAGCTGCCCCTCGCCTGAGGCTCACCCAATGAAGCATATTGCTCGCATGGGGCTCGCTCGGAGAGGCTGGGGCGAAACACCTTCTCTCATATAAAATTCTAGTAGCACCTATTTTCCATCATCTCATTCACCCAGTGACCTCTTCATTCGTCCGACGAGCTCACGTTCGCCTCAGCTTCGCTCGGTGAAGCTGGAGCGAGACACCTCCTCCATACATTTTATAGAAACTTGTGAAAAACTCATCCCTCTCTCTCTCTCGCCTCACTCTCGCCTGGCAAAGTCTTGGCGAAGTTGCTTCGCCTAGTGACTTGGGAGGTTCTCCTCGCGAGTGCGTGAAAACAACTCTGCTGTTGCGTTTTTTGCACAAAATCAGTCCAATTTTTTTGTGATTTTTACACTCATCCGTCCAAAATTCACACAATTCATCATGGTTTCACAATATCACAAATACACATCATAATAGGCATCATATACACCATTTAATGGCATTTTACACATCACAAATCATCATTCTCATCACAAATCATCATATTATCATCATCAAACAAAATCCCAAATATAAATCCACCAATACTTAAACTCATACCAATCATAATGATAAGGATAAATTTCATTACCTTAGTTTATAGCTAGAAATGGATTATCCTCCGCGTTCTATAGAATTCCTCTGAGTTCCTCAATGCCCTAGGTCTACTCTTTTCTTTGTCTCTTCTCCAAGCGCGATCGTACAGAATGAGCATTCTAAACCCCAACATTTTCCTTATGTCAAACTTACCCCTTGGACCCCTAATATGTTTTTCCTAACTTTCCCCCACTAATCCTTAAGGGTATTACCACCTTGCCCTCCTCATCTCTACATCATATACTATCTCTATTTCACTAATTAAAATAATTCTAAATAATTACTCTAATTATCTAAAATTATTTAAAATACTCAATGTCTCCTTATTTCCCATTATACCACACATAACATCACATTACACATCATATTCATCAAAACATCCCATAAACTCATAAATAAGTCACAATACTCACAATACATCACAAATATTCATCATAAACCAATTAAATAATTAAATAAATAATCTAATTATTTTGGAGTGTTACGATATATCATCTTTTGAATTCATTGATTTAACTTCATTATAGAATACCATCCAAAACATTTTTTTGTTTTATTTTACTTTATATTCCTAGAACGCATCCATTCTTAGGCTGAAATGCGGGTTTAGATCAGGTAGGAACACATTTAACACCAAGGTTTAGAAAAAAGGAGTTGCGTTTTCCACCTTTATATGTGCTCCCACATCACCGTGAAAAGTTAACATTCTTTCTAGAATTCAGAGATGCATCTTTGTACGCACCTTTAATATACACATTTTAACACTTTGTAAGTGTGAAGCCCTTATTTTATCCAAAATCTTTGTCCAGAAATGCATCTCTGAAATCCGAAAATAAACTTCCGTAAAATTACCACCCTTAAAATTTTAAAGTGCAATCTGTTATCTATGTCTTTCGTGATTTTGATTTTTGTTCTTGTGTTTCATCAAACAAATTGGCAAGAAATAAAAATTGGAAACAAACAAATAAATTGACAACAAATATCAAAACCAATAAATAATCAGAAGAAACATTAATTGGAAAGCAATTTTTTTCTTACCCTTATGGTGTGGGGCGCACCTCTGAAAACTCGAAAATACTCTTGAGTTTTTTCAGAGATATATCTCCAAACGCACCAAATCCCGTATTTTGCCTAAATTTAGTTCGGAGATGCACCTGTGAGTTTTTATGAGGTAAATTCGCACATATATCTCTGAGATCACCTTTTTTCCTTCGTAATAAAGCAACCACCCCATTTCTAAAAAAAGTTCGGAGATGCATCTGTGAATATTTCTGAGGTAAATTCGAAGATGCCTCTCTAAAATCTTATCTGCGTGTTTCTTGTGCAGAAACATTAATCCAAAGGCATTTTAATTTGATTAACATAGCCGTTATTTGATTCAATGATTAATAAACATGAATATCATAGAACAAAGTAATGCGTTAATTGAAAAAAAGACAATCTTAGTACAAAAATTATTCTCAAAGTATGAAAAAAATACCAAAGCATCTCAAAATACAATCAAATGCATAATCTATTGAGTATGTCTAATCCTAACCCCATGTCTCCTCCTTTGTCGATGGTAACCCAAGGCATTCCATGCATCGGTAAGAATGGAATGTGTTAGAGAAACTGCGTCATCGTCGCCTCTCTCGAACAGTCTAAACTTTATGCCCTCATAAGTAATCTGCATAATATTCTGACAAATGGACAACACATAAATGATATGGTCATTTCTGGCCTACTCATTCTCCAGGATCTCCTCATTAATAGGCTTAGGTGGATTTCAAGGAGCTTCTAGTGTCATGACAGTGTGTGACACATAATAGAATCAAGTTATGTAACCCTTAGCATAATACCACTTAGATGTGGCTTGCACCTTCTGATACTCCTCCGGTACCATATGACTCTCAAAATCTGCTAGAATATCATTCAGGTGTTTACGGATAATGCTCGAAGGGGGACCTTGGAATGATATGTACTTATCCAAACTGTCGCATGCACCGCTCTAGCAGATACCTACATGTGATACTACTCTCATATGCCAATCATTCGGAGTATAATAAAATATGGTTGAACAGAATTCTCTCCTAGTGAGAAGTGTATGGCATCTAGTCGATGTCATCATATTGAGTCCGATCAATATACACACGAAACGGTACCACAACATCACTTCCTTTACGTGGGCGGTACAGGCAAGCACGTGGATAATTCTCAGTATATGATCGCACACGTTCAAACTCATGTATGTGGTGAAAGTGAACAAGGATATATCCCTGAAAATGAATAAGAAAAAAACATTAGTAACAAGTGTAAAAACAAGTTGTTTATAAATTAAAAATGACTATGGAAATTATCGTCAACAGTGTGTAGGAGCTTGTCATTTGCTTTTCCCTCCAAAGAGAATTTTCGCTCAACTTGGAGCACAGGTATACCAAGCATACGGCTCCCTAGATCCACTTGTGAATGGCCGCCAATTTGATGAAATACTCGAGGTATGCCACATCCACGTAGGTTTCATTTTTGTCCACAGACATGGATGTGCCAACCAAGAAGAATAGGAAGTAACACCTCAATGCACACTCTACGTGGTAGCCAACCTGCAGATCATCATTGTCGGAATCATTGGCCAACTCCAAGTTATTTTTATACAGTGTCTCCAACCAAGAAAACTTGGCATGTGCATCCCTGGTGTTCTCACACTACATCAGAGCTTTCATTGGGTTAGCTCCAAAATAAATCACCATCATATCCACTGTCTCATCGCGTTTGATCCTAGAATGATCAAGTAACTTCCCTTTGATGGGAAGGTGTAAGAGGCAAGCGACATAATCTAATGTAATCGTCATCTTGCCAATGAGAAAGTGAAAAGATGATGTTTCTTTATATCATCTCTCAGCAAATGCTCTCTGCATGTCATGGTTGATGACGATGTACCCGGAAAAACACATACAGAAAAGATCGGAGTACCATAGCACACTTAGGAACCACTCTTGCTTAGGCTGAGGAAGTTTGTGAATCTTCATAGCATGGTTAATAGATTTCAACCACTCGTGCGAGGTTTAAATACATTTACCTCGTTTGGAGATGAATCTCCAAAAGAATCCTTGAATTTAAAAAAAAATCATTCGGAGATGTATCTGTGAACAGACCCTAAAACACCTTTACAGATGCATTTTCAAATTTAATTTTGGTCAAATGAAGAAATGGTGCTTTCAAAGATGTATCTCCAAAAAAATAGAAGACATTATTGATATTTCGTCAGGAGCCTAAGAGAAAGTAATAGGGTGGAAAAAGAAATTGCCTAATTGGAATAGAAAACCACCATTTCAAATCCATTAACACCATTCCAAATTCACACCAAAGAAAAAAATATGAAGTAATATTTAAGGTCGGGTAATTATACTTAGAAATCCATCTTATACCAAAAAAATAGATCAAAAATCCATCTTGATAATTACAATTAAAAAAATATCAAAAATCTATTTTGATATTATCTTGATAATTACAATTATTGTTTTGATTCTTCTGATATTGTCTCTGGTTCCTAGAATTGTTAGATCAGTTAATATGTATAAGAATCTATCCGAAGATGCATCTCCAGACAAATTTTTTAATAAAGTAGAGTGAATCTCATAATATCATATTTTGATGTGATTTTTGGTGCATTCGAAAATATATCTTCGAACGCGTAAAGGATATTTTTGGATTACCAAAGGGGGGAGGATGCATACATAAAGGTGACATGAGCACCCCTCTTCGTAAAAATGAAGAAAAGTAGAGAGCAATGGAGGTGATGAACAAATCCGAAAACGTATTGCAAAAAATGAATGTTGTGCTATAGGTTCTGGTTCATCAACCTTTACGATTGTAGCATAAAATACATTTAGTGCTCATAGTAAATTAAAGAAAGTTTGCCTTGCTCTGTGGATTCACCAATAAAAAGAAATTTCCTGTAATGCCCTCGATCTCAAAGAATTTGTATGAAGTTAAAGAGGGTAGTTTAAATTTTTAATCAACATATATGTCTTAAATTGATTAGATTCTATAGTAACTTCTGAATGATGGTCATTTGTATTTTCCTTTTGTTTTTAGTACAACAATCATGTATATGAACAATACAACTGAAGAATTGTAATCCAAAAAGTTGGATAGATACAATATTGCAGCTTGTAAATCGGTCTAAAGTCTCTTGAAACCGTTAATCATGAATTTGATAATTTTGGAAGTTTCACCATCTGCGACGCCTTTTTCCATAAAAATACGCAAATGCAGCTATTGATGCAGCAAGAACGACCCCAGCTGTAGCATGCCAAGCATAGAGTGGTTTTTGCAAAAGTAGGCCAGAAGCGCTAGCGCTAACCTCAATTGGTGGTGGTGAAGCCACTGGTTTCTGGCTAACTGCTACTGCAAACCCCAAACCTTGCCGCTCCAACTCAGCCAAGTCTTCAATTGCTGGCCTTAATTTTGTAGTCTTGGCTATGGCTTCGTACTCTTCTTTAGTTCCTCCTTCGAGGAAAGCCCCAACAACATGACCCTTGTTTACCCAATATGCTCCAAATGTGTCACCTGAGGCTGAGAGATCTCCATAATAGACAACTTCCCCAGCATTATCCCCGTAAAATTGCCATGACAACGTGAAGACTCTGGAGTAGAAAAAAGGAATGTAGTCAAATTCCCCTGTTTTGTCCGGTTCCATTATGGAAGAAACGGCGTGTTTTGCAGATTTTCTTGCTGAATCAACATGCTCGAGTCTTCGCTTTTCCCCAAATGCTTTGACTGGAAATGCTGCAACATCGCCAATAGCATAGACTGAACTGTTGCTTGACTGGAACATTCCATTTACCTTGATTCCACCTTTCTCCAAAGTAAGTTGGCCTTCAAACAGACCTGTATTTGGTCGTATTCCGATTCCCACAACAACCATGTCTACAGATAGCTTTGTTCCATCTCTAAGAGTAACATCTGTAACCTGCAAAAGAGGTCAGTCAACCACAGTTATAGGTTGAATTGATCACGGCCTGGTGCAACCATAGCCAAATTTCCAAGGTGCGAAATTTGGGGAAAAGAAACGAGGAAAGGGAAGTGAAAGGGATGATATCAAACATTCCAAGGTAAGAAATTTCCAAAAACTAGTTTGATGTACCTTTCCATTGGAATCAAAATCAAATGATGATAGCACAGTTCCTTTAATGAATTTTACTCCTCTTAATTTATAATATTCTTCATAGTAGTTTGCAATCTTGGGGGTTAATAAACGGGCCACTGTAAAATAAATCCAATATTGAAAGTATCCGTCAGTTTTTCAAGTCATTATTATCCATAAAAGCTACAAGCGGCATTTTTATCCAGATTAACACACAAATAAACATTGATCTCATACACTCTTTGAGTTGAGACAATAAATTAAAAAATGAAGTACTTACTGCAATGTGCTTCTGGGAAGACCATTGTTACATTGATTTTATTAATCACTAAAGATGCTGCACACTCCATGCCAATGTATCCACCACCAATGACAACGGCATTCCCACCAGGAGAAGATTGAATCGCATCCACAAGTCTATTTGCATCTGATATATCTCTTAAATAACATACATTTTCTGCATCAGATCCATTAACCCCAAATTCCTCCAGTTTCAAAGCCTACACTTGACATTGCACACAAGTTTGATAAATTTCTGTAAAGAAAGCTGAAAGGCCACTATCTAGGTGCATTGGTGAATTTGTCTTCAAACATCCACACATATTATGTTCATGAGGGAAGAAAAAAATCAGTTTCCATAGGATGTTCCTAGGGCCTAATAGTTTTCACATATTTTAAGGGAAATGATATTGAATTTCGAGAGATAAAAACCTACACCCTCTAGTCACTATTATAAGCAACAAAAAACTTGTTTGGTTCATTGAACAATTGATGTATCTGATATATAATAATGACCGGATACATCAATTGTTCAATGAACCAAAAAAAGGTTTTTGTTGCTTATAATAGTGACCGAGGGTGTATAAAAAAGAAAGCTACAAGAAATATCAAGGAAACTGCCAGTTTCTTTCATTTGTTTTTTAAAAAGCAAGACATGCATGTAATATAACAAGATAAAATGATTCTTTTAAGCAGGAAAAATCAAACTGAAAGATTTGCTTCAATACCCGGGCACCAGTAGCAATAATAAGAAATTTGTAACTTATGGTCTCCCCAGTTGTTGTTAACAGTGTTTTACGTTTCACATCAGCAGACTTAACTCCAGTTCCAAGAACTAGTTCAACTCCTGAGAAAGGAAATAGCAGTTTCACGAATTAGAGATTCCGCGTATGAACCTCCTTTGAATTACAATATAAAAACATTGAAAGAAGATGAATGATAGCTGTTTTTAATAGAATCAATTAACATTAACTGATACAAACCTGGTATCTTATAAGAAAGAATAGGGAAAATCTCCCTAGAATACAGCACAATCCATGCCATAAGGCCCCAAGTCTTATTAAATTTCTAGGAGCTTAACTCAGCAGTTCAACTTAAAACTCAGTAAAAAGAAATTCTAAATATTTAGAAATATTACTTTAGGGGAACCACTGAGTCTAAATAGCATCGACTACTGAACAAGATCAAAGCCGGACAAAATAAATAAAACAGCCAACAAACGCATCAATACATTACATTGCAAAGGGGGAAAATAGAAGTAGCCTAGCTAAATTACTTCGTGGATAAATCAACTCATGATGTAAAATAGTCTAATTACCATGTTCTTTATACCATTTTGGAGTAAGTCTTTCCTCGTTTGCTCCAACACATGTATGAAAGGATGGAAGCCGGGCAGCACCTGTAAGTTACAAATTTATTTCAGTAACCAGATATTCAAAAATCTTTGCAACCAAGAAAAAGAGAAAATATGGAGGAAAGAAGGGAAATTTAGAAATTCTATATTTGAACGAACTACATGGAAATGAAGCAATAAATCGTCATAATGCTAGTACCATCCTAAGCACACAGTTAAATCCTTCAAATATACAGCAAAATCATAATCACCCTGGTTTACTTCTTCAACTTTTCATTATTTAGGAAATTCAAAGATAAAACAGAGCACCGCATTGAAGTTTATAGGTTAGTCTCCCTAAGCAATATAACTTGGCCATGATATTCAAATTTCATAAGTAAATGGAGTTAAAATGGCCATTTAATAACTACATAGAAAAAATTCAATTTGATTGAAGTCCTGATTAAAGAACAAGGTTGTTGTAAAGAGGATAGAGCATGATGCAAAGAAAAGGAGTGAATAATATAAATAAGATATCTGTCAAAGAGTGTCATTTTTATAGATCAAACACTCAAAATAAGCGGTTGATAAGGTTCCTCAAGTTGAGAAGAGGTCAATACCTTCTGGAAGCAAATATCCTTTGCTTAATGCAGGTCTTTCATAAGGAGCAACCTGAGATAAATATTAAAAATCAGACAGTGTCATAACTCAAATCATATTCCCAAGAAAGATAGAAAGCATATTAATATTCATAAAGTAACATATTAAGAAACATAATTGAATCAATTGAAAAAAATAGAACCTATTTAGATTGTTATCAACTATTTGAAAAAAAACTTCTAAAAACAGCTTATGATATATCCATTAGTTGTTATCAACTTATTTTCAAAACTCTCTAAGATAACTGATGAAAACAGCTTATAGCTAATACCAAAACAATACAACTTTATTTTTTCTCGTCTTTACACACAACCCTAACACTGACACGGCGACACCAGTAATAATTTTAAAAATTGAATAAATTAAACGTAATAACAAGTGTCAGTGCAGGTGTCCAACACAGACAGAGACATAGACACGTCTTTTTTTCCAGAAGTGTGAGTTACATATGTTATATAAGAATATAGCAATTAAACAACTATATAAGCGCTAATCATGATAAATTGAGTTGTTTATAGAAACAAGCCTGTGAATACATGATGCTATATCAATCATTAACTACTTAACTACTTACTACTAATAACCATTAACCACTGACTAATTCATAACGGAGTTGTAACTAACTCACTAATGATAAATATTTTTGTTAACAAACATTTATGAATCTTTATATTTACCATTAATTTTGTTAAAAAAATGAGATCAAAATCAAACACTTGAAATTATAAACAAATCTTAAATAAAAAAAAAATGGAAATCTTACTGATTCATCAGAAATGATACAGAGTTCACCATGAGAAACACCTCGTCTAACGAAATCAAGAGCAGCGTAACCAGCAGATACACCACCGCCGAGAATCACGTACACGAACGCTCTTCCCATTGCTCGAAAAACTCCTTCTTCCTTCGCATACACACAGCCAAAAATAAAACACCTTATCTTGTTTATTTATCGTGAATTTAAAATCAAGGGTGGTGAATTATTTGGAAGCGTTTTCGTATAAGGAACTTCCAAAAATTTGAAGATCGCTAATGGGCCCATTACGATGCCAATGACGAAGACGGCGGCAATAAGTCTTGCATTTACAGGAATACCCTCCAATTGAGATAGTCTACGTGTAGGTTTGCTATTGGTTTTGCCCATTGGATTCAAACCACGTGGCTGTTTCATCTTGTTGCGCTTTACTCTTTCTTTTATTTTATGTTTTTTCTTTAATATTTAGAAGTAATAAAAATGGTAAATCAATCTAAAAAAATTAAAATCCGAAAATAACTAAAATTTATTTGATGTATTTAAATGTTATTTTGTGAAAAGGATAAGATTTGGATTATTTTTTTATTTTTTTATTTTTTTATTAATATAATATGTTACGTAAATTTATTATTAAATGATAATTATTTTTTAAATAATACTTATTTATTTGGAGTAATCTATTTATTTTTATTATTGCAATTATAATCAATCACTCTCATTTTATAATCTTAACTTTTAATAAATTATATTGATAGGAAGATTTTTTATCAAAGCTAAGAATTAAGATTTTCTACACTAAAATGATTAAATAAAATAAAGGAAATAAAATAACTTTTTATTTGATTTATTGATTCCAAATGTCTCTATGTGACTATATTATATAATACTCTTAATGGGTAACTTAATGACTAATAAATCTAAAAGCCTAACAACTATTAAAAGCTCAATAACAATACTAGTAGTTAATAATATAAATGACTTACTAAAATAATATTCTAACTTAATTTAACTCATAATTCACTATCTGCCATTGTCGCGGGGTTCACTTGAACCTTGTTCTCAAGGTTCTAAAATTCAATACGAGAATAGAGATTTTTTACCTGAATTCCATTGCTTGAATAACCAATTATCACTTACGAGACAAAGTCTCGAAAAGTATAGATGTTGCATAAACCTTTCCGAAACTCTCGTTACAAAAATATCTTCCTCCCATTTTAAGAGATTAGTAGAGTGGAGTTCTGCATTCTCAGAAGCACCACAAACCAGACACAACCAGCCAGCTGAAGATAAAATTTCCTCCTTTAACTTCCATCCCGACGGCTGGCCACCGAAGTTGAGAATAACAAGCCTCACATCATCAGATACACCAAGCTCCTTCTGCACCTCTTTTGCAGATTTGTGCAGCCTCCTCACCACCAAGGGACATCGATAACATCATTAAAAATAGGCATTGGAAAATATCTCGGGAGGCAAATAAGGAACTCACAATGGGAATAGTCCTCGGCTATCTGCCAAACTATAGAACGATGATGAAGTCCATAAACCATGAGATACGTTGCATAAATGAAGTCCCAACTGAAATCGGTGACACAAACTGATCGAATGCCAGCATCTGATGTGGCACGATGTAACGCCCTTTAATTTAATTAATTAATTAATTAAATTATTTTTGTATTAATTGTTGAAATCGTTGACATATTGTGTTGGGTTGTGAGTTGTTAACATAAGTTGCGGTGTTGTTATTAGTTGGTTAAATTAGTTGATTATTAATATTGGTAATGATATTAGAATTGTAGAATATTAATAGTATTGGTTGTTGGACTTGTTTTGGTGATAGACGTAGTATTAAGGGGAGGTGTAAGTTGAGCCCATTAGGAATAACATTATTATTAGTTTAATTATAATAATAGAAATTAGGTTAATTAAAAAGGGTTAAGAGAAAGAGTAGAGAAAGTGTTGTACGTGAGAAGTTACAGAGGAGAGGAATAAGGAGAAGAGGCACAAGTCTAGGTTCGATAGGAAGATTATAGAGCAACCTTCAATCTAAGGTAAGGGTGGGATTCTGACTCTATAATGTGTATATGATGTATGTTACGTAGGAATTGGGTTGTGTAGAATTGTTATTGTGTGTGATTGTTGTATTGAGCAAAGTGTTATTTGGTCTATGTGGTAATTGTACTAACATTACAACGATTCAATCGATGAATCGAGTGTTGGAAATTATCATGTATTGATGTGGTTATGTTTGTTATGTTGTTGTGAATACATGTAGTGTTGGTCTGAAATCATTGGTAAGGGAAGGAATCATTGATCGCAGGAAAATATGAACGAAGTTACAGAACTGGATGGTGTGCCGAGCGGCATATGTATGATGGTGAAGGGTGCCGACCGACACCATGTTTTTGTGCCGAGGGGCACGGTTTACATGCCGAGGGACATGAATCCATTACCCAGATTCTCCTTTTAATTATTTTATGTGTTTGTTCTATGTGTCTGTTACCTTAGTATTTCATTACAGGAATATATGTAGCAGGTTTAGAAAAGAATGGATAATAACAAAGGCTATTCATCAGTAACAGAAAAGTGAACAATTGTGACTTAGCATAAAATATAGCAGGTGGAGTTAATAATGTATATAGTTAGTAATTGGTATGGTTTAGTTGCAGAATTAGTAGTAAATAACAGAAACACTAGTAACTAAAATATAGTAGCAGTAGAGATGATTTAAGTTGCAGGAAAATAATAGTCTCATTAATTTAGAAGTAAACCATTTTATAAGGCTTATCAGCAGAATAATTTAGCAGAAGGGTTTTAGTGGGATCGTGTTAATAATAGTATTGGCAGGTGTAAGTTGTTGTGATGTTGTTCTTAATTATTGAAGTTGCAGGTGATGAATCTTGTTGTGTTTCCTCTATTGACTGGAAATTATTGAGTTGTAGGCTTATGCCAATGTTGTTATATGTTGTTGTCGTTGTTGCATTTAATCGTGTTGTCGCATACATGGCATATTATGTTAGAGCTGATGCTCGTTAGGTTGGCCTGGATTGGAAAATATAAAGTTGAAGGCTTATGCCTTGTTGCTGCCTCTATTAATTGGCAAGTTGTTAAGTTGAGAGTTCTGCTCCATTGGCACAACATGTATGTGCATAAAAACGAGTCGTATTTCACGTTGCATATTTGAGTTATTGTGTTGATGAATTAATCGTTATACTTTGTTGATATTTTTTCGTGATTGTTGTTGTTTATAAGTTGTGAAGCGGTGATTTTGCATGAACCGATTCTAATATAATGTTTATCATACGTTCACTTATATTGTTAGATATCTCACCTCTTCTGTTTGAATGTTACCCTGATGTTGGTAACGTGAAGATAATCCAGAGTGAAGGCGATTTAACTTTAGTAGTTCGGATCGGTGTCATTGCTCTGATACGTAACACTCGGGGGGGTGAACTCTTGTTGTTCTATTGTTGATTATTTTAGTTGATTGAACTTTAAGTTGTTGTTCGTTAAATACTTATTATTTGAAGTTATTTCAGTTGGACGAACATGATATATTCTTTTAAGTTGAATATTTGATTCCGTTGCGTAGTTATGAAAGTTGTTGTTTTCAAAAGATTAAATTATGTTGTCGTCGGTTCATCTAAGTTTAATGTGTTATGCATCTGTAATGAATGCCGTTATTTTACGTTGAAATTGTAGCATCCTGATTTAGCTATTGAATTTTTATAACTCTGATTTTATAATAATTTTTTGGTAGAATTGGGGTGTTACAAAGTTGGTATCAGAGCAAGTCGGTATGTCCGACCAAGTTGTCTAGTCGTAGTTTATCTAACAATCGAGTATTGTTAACTTGAATTCTAACTGTTGTTTGTGTTGTAGCGATAAGTTAAGATGGATGGAAGGAATGATGTTGCACTTCCTGCTGCTTTATAAGTGATGGCGTGTGTGTGATATGGTGGAAGAACTGACTTGAGAGTTTTGCATTTTATCGCAAATGTTGCGGTTAGCAAGAGTCGCCACTGACTTTTCTTTTATCCAAAAGGATAGGTGAAAAATCACAGGAAAGACCTTTGAGATTATTTCTTGAGTTCGGGGGTAGATTATGAAAAGGGAAGGTATTAGCACCCTTTTCATCCATGGTTATCCATGGGCTCTTAGTTACTTGCTAGATCACTTGCTTTTGTTTTAAATTGTGCTTTGTGTAGTTTTTTGAAAGTATTTTGTAAAGAGGCCATTGTTTAGGCAATCTTTGTAATGATTCTTGTTCGTAAGAATGTATACAAAGTGTTTGATCTTTTGAGAATGTTTTCAAGTTTGTAAGATGTTTTAAAAGTGTGGGTGTTTGTTTTGAAATGGAGCAAGTAATTAGGAGCATTCTACCTACTCAAAAGTCTTTCTTGTTCATTTTATTTTCCTTTGACATTGTTATCTTACCATTGATTTGGTAAGTAACCCTATCTTTGGATGTAAACGGGACGGGCGTGGGTCATCGTGTAACCATGATTAGCAATGTTGCAAGATATCTTAGTATTCTTTTTGAGGGACTAAGATCATTTATAAGGTAACTTAGATAGCGTCATCGAGGGACTATGATCTTGTATTTGCTTGTTTTTGCTAAGATACCTTACTTGCTTAGATCACTTGCCTTTGCTTTTCAATTGTTTGAAATGGTGCTTTGTGTGTGGTTTTTGAAAATGTTTTGAAAAAGATGCCTTGTCTAGGCAACCATTGTAACAATTCTTGTTTGAATGTTTTACAAGGGTGTTTGTCTTTTTGAAAAGATGTTTCAATGTTTTTGAAAGTTTGTTTTGAAGTTGTGTTGTGTGTTTTGAAAAATGGCAAGGATTGTTTTGCAAGTTTGGTCAAGTAACCAAGAGCTATCTACCCTAAATTTCTCAAAGATCTTTCTCATGTTTTAACCCTTTTAACAGTGTTGTTTCACCATTGTATTTGGTGAACAACCTTGTGTTAGGATGTTAATGGGACGGGCGCGGGTCATCGTTTAGACCATGGAGGCAATAGTGTCAAGTATCTTTGGCATTTTCCTTAAGGGACTTGATCACTTTTGTTTAGGCAACTTGATAGCATCATCGAGGGACTATGATCATTCGATTTGTTTTTGTTTTGCC